ATCAGCAGCTACTGTTCGATGAACTGTACTGTAGTTTCTGGTTGACTTCAGAGGCTGTCCAATGTAAAACATGTTACAACCTGTGATTAAGGTTCTCTGTCCAGAATGGGCAGCTAATTGAGAGACCTGCTGAAGATGGGCAAAAGCTCCAGCTGCTGCTTGAGAAGGGCCTGTGATTCCAGAAAAAACCCAGGCCATGGACTTGTTCCTTCCAGAAGTACAACCTGAGCCAACTGAAAAGAAGCTGCTTCCATACAAACTAAACTCCAACCAGCTAGGAATTATTCAGAAAATGGATATAGATGGCTATTTTTATACCTATTTAGACCTTCCTATTAACACACAAATATTCCTTTCTAAAATCACTGTATACTTAAGTCAAAGGAAAAAGCAAGAAATATTCTCGTAAAATGTTGAGTAATCTTTTTAGAACAAGGAAAATTCCATAAGCAGAAAGAATAAGAGATTATTCTTATTAACAATTATAATTAGTTGTTTCCACCCTGCCTGACAAAACCATCTTGCATGTTAATCATGCAAAAGGATGTCCAATTCCAGATAGCCTACATTTTAACCATTCATTTAGTGCAGCTTCTCTGCCGCTGCCCTTGATTCCCAAACAGAGTTCATGAATAACAAGACGAAGGAAGAACCAGACTGAGCCACTGGTTTGCTTAAGAGTAATTTACTGAATAAGCTGCCATTCACTGGGTTCCCACTTGACAACAAATATGATTTACAAATCAGAATATGTAACTTTTTCCCCATTCTTTTTATTCTTTCATAGTATTCCACTAGGATTTTTTTCCAGTGATATTCACTGGGCTGCCAATGTAGATTTTAGTCCTGAAAATTCTTGAATGAATAGATGTTTATGTATGTCTTAATAAACTATGACATCTGAGATATGCCTAGATGAAGGCACCCCAGTTGGGTGCAAAACAGAGTTCTCACATATTCCAAATGAATTAAATGCATTGTCTCCAGTCATAAGAAAATTAGTTATTAGCTAGCTCATAAAAACTAATAACCTTTTTAGTATAATCCTATGTATCTTTGTAAAGTCTGTGTTCAACATGTTTTACTTCCTTGCAAGCAAACATAAAACTGCAGTTTTAATTTACTTGTATCTAATTTGGTCCGCTGATTTAATTGGAATTTATTTTCTATGGCTATCTTATTTCAAAATTAGAAGTCAATCCTAAAGAGGGGAAAAATCTTTTTGTTAGAAAATGAACATTCTTTTGGGTTTAAAGTGATTTTTAAAAAGTAATCCAGTATATTCATTCCTTAGATAAGACTTTTAACTTTGAATATAGGAGGATTATAATAAAACAACCTTATCAATATTATAACAAACAAAGTCTGGAACATTGGCTAATGACAGCACTCCAATGCAAATATCAGTTATATTTTGGTTTTGCAACTGTCCTTGTCTTTGAGCTCTGCACAGATAAATTCATCACGTCATCACCTTTTCACTGTGAAAATAAAAGATCCCATTCACTCTGCATGTTAAACTCATGGGCAGCCACAATTATCTTAGTAAAGGAACCAATCTGAAAAAAAAACATGAAAATGGCTTTTTTTCTTTGCTTACTTGGGCTGTCCAGTGCATATTTGTTTAAGAGTTCTCTAAATCATGTTTGCTGAATTAGTAAGAATTTATATGTGAGCACTTACAGAGAACTGGCAGTCAAGTGTTATTCATAAACCAAGTTGTGCCCATTTTTTCTTACAAATGTTCCCATTCCAGTTAGACATTTGTGCTTACACATACTCACACTCCTACATACAGCTGGTCTTAATCCAATTTGAAAACATTCCCAGGGGAAGAAAAATAAATTGAAAAAAGCTGGGAGGAGGTCAAAGGGAAAACGAGGCAACTACCTTAGGTACCTTACTTTGGATAGTGCGAAAAGGCCCAAACTAATTGTAGTTGATCCATTATTATTATATTTCTACAGTCCAGAACAAGTCTCTGGGATTTTCAGTTTGAAGAGCCAAAATCATTTGACTGGAATATTCTAGATTTTGGTTGTATGGGCATATATAATAAACTATTATAGATTGCCCTGCCACTTTTGTAGCAAAGTTGCTTGGGACAGCCCAACCAAAGAAGTAGGGGCCCTATTTTCTTGCAGGTAAGGGTTTTCAAAAGAATCTTAGGCTTAGGAACAATACATTATTCTTGAAAAATTTTGCCTAAAAACTACAAAGAATGAATGTATTGATTATATTTTTGCAAACATGTTAGAAAGCCAAAATAGTTGGCTTGCTGCAGGTTTAGATCAGAGGTGGGTTTCAGCAGGTTTTGACCAAGTTCTGGAGAACCGGTAGTGGAAATTTTGAGTAGTTCAGAGAACCGGTAGTAAAAATTCTGACTGGCCCCGCCCCCATCTATTCTCTGCCTCCCAAGTCCCAGCTGATCGGGAGGAAATGGGGATTTTGCAGTAACTTTCCCCTGGATTGGGGAGGGAATGGAGATTTTACAGCATCCTTCCCCTGCCACGCCCACCAAGCTACACCCACAGAACCGATAGTAAAAAATTTTGAAACCCATTATTGGTTTAGATAGTGACAAACATCTGGATGTTCCTAACATGAGAACAAAGTTAATAAATAAATGTTTACAAATGTAATTCTAGCAATTCTGTACCACTTCTTTTATACTTATATAAATACTTATACTCTGTATTGGTCTCTAAGTACAGGAAACTACTGCCATGTTTCTTTGGCAATGATCCAGAAATGGTTGATCATTAGGGGTGTGCAATCCTTCGGAATAGGAGCATTGGGAAATATGAGACAACTTCAAATCCAGCACCTACCAACAACCCATTAAAGCAGCCATGTCTTTCCCCTGGATTACACATGTAGAAAGGCTGCTCTGTCTGTGGGTCTACAAAAACTTGCCGCAGCCAACTTCCCATGGGACAACTCACCATGGCTAACTCACCAAGGGACATGAGTTACACTAATATTGAACAAATAGTCAAATAGAATCATTAAAGGATACCAAAAGAGGGACAAAATAAAATGTGAATAACTAAAGTTAAAAATTTAAAATAATATTACATTATTTTTAAAAAATTAAATTGAATTGTTGAATTGTCCTGCAGCAAGTTGTTCTGTGGCAAGTTGGCCATGGTGTTGACTGTGGTTGAGTTGGCTGAGGCGAGTTGTCCCATTCCGTCTTTCTTTGTGTCCCATTCTAGCCTTCAGTTCTTGTATTTCCTGATATTCTCTCATATAAACCAAGTACTAATTTGGTATTTAAACTCCTGCATGAATTTGATTACACTGGGTACAAGTTTTCACACTCTGTCAACTGCTTGATTTATCAAATCAGCCTATACATTTACTCTTTATCCTGGAGCTTTCTTATTTGGTATGCTAAGTCCAAGTAAATTTCATTCTATTATCCTAGTATGTATGGGTCATATCCCTCAACTACAATCTGGTATACCCTTATTTGGGAAAAGATCCCATTGAATTCAATGCAACTTAGTTCTGAGCAGATATGTGCAGTATTGCACTGTTAACTGTGGTTACACAAGGTATGGGCATTGTAAACTACTATCTTCTAGATTTGGTTTAGATCTTCCTTACTATGTTCTTGCTTGGAATGATAGATTTTGCATCTATGTTCATATGTAGTCCTGCCACTTTTTCAAAAGTCTTATGATGAAATCCAGGTCGGGGAGAAAGATGTTGCAGGTAAAATGATACCAAACAAATGCTCTTTGTTTGCAATGTCTGGTTCATAGAAAAATGTTCACTTCATTGGGAGGGACTTTCTCATCTGCCCACGTCTTCCAGTATCTGGCAACATGAATCAGTTTACTGTAAAACTTTCATTCCCACTTCATATTGTTCTTCAAATTTGAAGAAAAAGCACCATAATTTGTCAATTGCAAAAGCATTTCAAATTCCCTGAAGTTGCACATTTTCTTACTGCAGAACTATTCCAATGCTTTTAGATTTTTTGGTTTTGTAACACAAAACATTTATAACATGCCTCTTAACGACATCATTTGAAGAACCTATTACACAGCAATCTTTCTGCTGTGAGATCTGGCAACAGTTTATACTGCTTTTCACTTTTTAAACCAGCTTTCCGCTCCCTCCCATCATTTCCCTGTGACTCCACTGGCTGGGGATAAGGGGTACAGCAATTTGACAAGCTGCCAAATTGGGAAAGGCACAGATATACAGTATTGGCTCTGAGGAAGGTAGACCTGCTCTAGGAAGAAAAATCAGATCCAATTCCAAGCCAGGAATAAATGGAGGCTGCTTAAGAAAGTAAATTTATTAATGAGCAGAACTAACAACAGCACGCGGTTCTGGGACAGCTGACAAATTGGTTTGATGAGTACATGGATTTTTATAGGGTTCTGAGATGCTCCTAGGAGGTTGTGCACTGTTGGGAGCCTTGTCTCTTTTTCTATTCTGGTGGTGGTGGGTTAAATCCTATTATGTCCTAAAATTATGTCCTGTCCTTCTAAATCCCATCAGCTGGAGCTGAAGGTGTTTTGATTATGAATAGATTGGCCCAGACTTTCTTAATGGGCACAAAATATCCATCTCTAAATTAGACTTCGGGCTTCTGCTGGAGGCTATTAAGAAAGACTGGGGTTGCTTTCTGCCTTTAAGAACATTTTTTCTCTATTTCTCCGGGGGGGGGGATATTCTATCCTGCCTCTTTTAATATTAAGAATAAAGAATATTTTAATCTGGGGGGGGGGGCTTTCTACACTGTTAAGGTCAGGTGGGGGTCCCCAAACCCAGAAAAGAATCGCCTTCTAGCTTCCCTCAAAGCGCGGCCTCCCGCAAACGCCGCGTGCTGGGCTGGATCCAGCGCAGCGCGTCCCTTTCACGCCCTTGAGTTTTCGGCCTAAGCACCTCGCTGCTGCTGCGGCGGCCAGCGGCCAGCCTACAACTCGACTGGTGCTGTGCCCAGGCCGCGGCGTTAGGAGGAGCAGCAGCAGCAGCAGCAGCGATAGAGCATTTCTCTTTCCCCTTCCACCGGCTCCTGCTTTCTCGGGCGAAGACGCGAAGGAAGGGAAGGGAGGGGGAAAAAAAAATAGCTCACAGAGACGAGCCTGGGCAAAACAGGCCACGTGCTTAACGCGCGAAGGGAAAGCGGCTGGCAAAGGAGGCGATTTTTTTTTTTTTTAAAGAAAGAAGAGCGAGGCGGCGCGGCCTTTTCCTAGCCGGCTTTCTCCCTCCGCTAGCGGCCAAGCCGGCCTCGCTCTCCCAACCTCTTTCTGCCCTCACAGCCCCGGAAAGAAGAGGCGGAGGAGGGAAGAGCAGCGTAGATCCTGTGTGATCTCCACGCCGGGGATGTGTGGTTGTTTCCCGCCGCTGCCACCCCCCTCCGGCTCCCATCACTTTCCGGCGGCCGGCTCGCCCACTTCGGGCTGAGGCGGGGCGCTCCGAGCTCGCTCAAGTGGGTGGGGTGGAGATGGTGTGTTTTTTTTCTTTCCCCTCCTTGGGGTTCTGATAATGGAAAAAACGCCCGGAGATATTTCTGGCGGTGGAGGTAATGGTGCCGCCGGCGTCCCTCCTCCTCCTTTTTTTTCCACCAGCGGCAGATTATTGTGTGGGAGGAGGGCAGGAGCGGCGGTGGCGACAGGGATGGACTTGGTGTTTGGGATTTCTTGCTAAAGGGAGCAACGCAACCGCTCCGCGCACCAGACCAGAAAAGGAGGCGGACGCGAGTGGAGCCGCTGCTGATCTCTGATGCCTCGCCGCCTTGCTGGGGAAAGCCGGCAGCCTCGTTTTTAAAGAAGCATCCACTTCTTCCTCCCTTCTTCGTCTCTCTCTCCTGCTTTCCCACCTGGTAGCTTCCCCGCTCCGGCAGATGTGTTTGGGGTCGCTGCGCAGCTGGGACTATGGTGAAATTTCCGGCGCTCACCAACTATTGGCCCCTCATTCGCTTCTTGGTCCCTTTGGGCATCACCAACATCGCCATCGACTTCGGGGAACAGGTAAAAAAAAAAAAAAGCGGTGTTCAGTCCAGCAATTTCTCCTGCTTTTTGTTTTTTTTTTTAAATTGGGGAACTTTATTGTATCTGCGATTAACATCTTTAGGAGGGGAAACTACCGCGAGTTGCAAGGTTGCCAATGAAGCGGTGCTTCGTGCCAGTCTATTTTTAGTGCTGCCTAACGCCGAGTGATGACAAAACGCAACAACCGAAGCTCCTTTTTTCCTGAAGAACCAGATTCGCGGCCGAGTGGCAAAAAAAAAAAAAACCAAAAAAAAAAAACCCAAACAAAAACCGCCGGCTAGATAGTTTTGAGTGTCAGGAGGCCAAGCCGGTTTGCCTTTCCTAGGAGCGGAGGACGAGCCGGTGGGGTTGGAGGACCCCTAAAATTGATTATTGCAAAACGCCCCCCCCCCCCCACAAAAAAAAGAAACCTGCGGAAGAGAAAAAAAGAAGAAATAGCAGACCGCGCAGTGGGTGGTGGTTAGTGATGGAATTATCACGACTAGGTAAAACCCCGGTTGCATACAGTTCGTTATATTATCTTTAGGGGAGGCTCCCGGGGTTCAACTACTGTTGTGTATTTCGAAGCAATATTATGTAATGCCAGGCGAATCCGAAAAGCTGCTTGCAGCATGCAGGGAGATGAAGTTGCCTGCAATTCGATTAAATGATTGCAGCTGTATTCATTTATTGGAACGCCTGAGCTTAATTGACCTCTCTGGCTGGGGTGGGGGGGCAGGGAATATTAGGCCCAACCCTTCATTAATTTATGGGAGTTGCTCAAGGTTTTGTTACCCCCCCCCAACAGTTCATCTTTTGTTTCCTTGGAAGTAAACCCTGCTGTAATAGTTGAAGACAGCTTACCCCTCCCCCCCCCAAAATAAATATAGAGAGATTCACAGCCTAGGTTATTGATTTCTTCGCCCATACTCCTTCCTCAGTTCTTTGAGAGAATTAGTTATCATTAAAGATCCTGGAATTTCTTACATGTTCACACATGGATCATATTTGTCTCCCTGCCACTCATAGAGTAGAAAGCTGAGTAGTGCTACAACCTTGCCATTGCTGGTAACATGTGATAGGAAAGTAAACCGGCTCCAATTCCTGCTGCTTCAATTAATTTGTCCTTGAGTGACTGAAGATGCCATTAAATGGCATTTGGAAGGGATGTGTTTGGAGATGGAGATAAAAACTGTACAGAGATCTATCTTAGGAGCAAGGCCTGCCTTGCTAAGAGCTTGTGGGAGGTGTGCTGTTGCTTTAAGATTGGCCACACCTGTTAGTTTCTATTGGCAAACTAAGATTTAGTAGATTTAATCGATCAGCTTGTTTGAGGACTAGCGTGTACTGGCATGCTGCAGTCAAGGTTTGTGACTCTGGACGTGCTTGCCTGCTTCTGAACTCCTGCATTGGGGGCCAACCTTTAACTATTGTCAGTGTAATAAAAGGAGGAGAGCAAATTCTTTCAGTATTTGCATCCAACTAGGGCATCTCCTTTCAAAATGAACTGTGCTTAACACATCTGTGATTTTAAATGTATATTTTACTACCTAGCCACTGATAAAATATAAATGTAACAAATGGATTCCACATTGTCAGTTCAATTAATCAGAATGTTGGATTACTTACAGCAAGGACAGAGAACCTGCATCTCAACAACAGGGCTTAGTGTTGCTCATCACTTGCTGTGCTGGTTGAAGTTCTCTTAGTAGTAGTTCAGCAATATTTAAAGAGCCAAATGTTCTCTGGTACAGTGCTGTTAGTTATACCCTGTAATTACCTGAGTTTACTTGCTGCTTCATTCATGAAACTGCTCTTATTTTTGTATATCGGTATATCTTGGTTTAAGATAAATGTCAAGTTCTTGATATTAAAAATATTTAAAGTTTGATAGTCTGCTGGATAATTACATTGTTTTTACTTATATGTATTGTAGCTAAATTGGAAAGGGAAACATAACTAAAGTATGCATTCTCTGGAGGCTTCAGGAAATTCTGAATATTTATTGGCAAACACTAAATGAGACCTGTTTTGGCAGCTCTTCTTATGTGTAGCTCCCAAATGGATCTTCTTGTACTAATTTGGAAGATGAATGGCTACTAATGCTTTCTGTTATGCTTTCCCCTATATCCTCTATCCCATACAGAATATAATACACTACAGTATACAGAAGAATATATCCTTAGTTAAATCTTTCAGAGTAGTAGCTACTCCACTTCTGTATTTGTTCATAGTGTAATTAATTCTATACATAGCTACTCAGAAATTTGCCTATTAGTTCACTGGTACTTGTGGATGGGAGTATGTTCAATTTGGATTAGAAACAGAAATTCACCGAGGAACTCTTGAGGAAGATCCATCCATTTGCTGGTCTAGTTCTGGTTATGCCATAGTTGTTTAAGAGTTCAATGTCTGATTTGTAATAATTGATAATAAATATCTTTGGAATTGTAAACTCTGTAACATCCAAAATAAAAAAATCTTAATTTTAAATTGAAATGGAAGGGGGTTGGAATGATCTCAATAAACATCTTTATATGTGGTTTCTTCTACTTTGGAGTTTCAATCACATACAAATAAGCAAACTTCTTTTTTAAAAAAATAACTTTCTTTTTTTCCTGGAACTTAATTATTAAAAATTACTTCCATTTGCCTGATTTTAATGTTTGGGAAGTATAGGATTCCCAAATCTATTTTGAAGTTCCCAGCTAATAAAATTTTAATGTAAATTTAAATTGTCAAGTGTTTTTCTGTCTAACCTGATTAAAAGTCTAGTTCTTCAAATGTCCATATGAAATCATGTGCTGGGAAGTATTTAAAAAAAGGGTAGTCCTTGATTAATAATGTTTCATTTAGTGATATTTGAAGTTATGCTGTTGAACAAGGAGATTATGGCCGGTTCTTAAAGTTGCGGCCATTGCAGCATCCCCATGGTTATGTGATTGTGATTTGGACACTTGCCAATCAACTCATAATTATGACAATTGCAGTGTCCCATGGTCACGTGATCACCATTTGCAGCCAACTTTTGACAAGCAAAGTCAATATGGTGATAGTAATCTATTTTTTTTTCCTGGTGGACCTCTCTTTCCTATGGGACCTGATAGAGAAGAATTTTGTGAGACAGTTCCTAAACTCAGGTCAACTCTTACATCAACACGTTTAAGTGCCTTCCAGGAACATGAAGAGAGATGCAAAATATCTGTTGACTTAGTCTTAGAAAGATGGGAAGAAGCGGCCTAAAACTGAAATCCTAGATTGTAGACCTAAATATAACTATGACTGCTGGCCACTGCAGTAGACATATTCTGTTGTACAGTATATAGCTTTTTTTCCCCAATACTGCAATAAAGTAACTATCCTTGCTGAGTCATGTTGTGAGTCTTCCACCAATAACAAAGTCCCAAGTAATAATTTCAGAGTCTGGAGCCCTTTAGATATAGCCAAGCTAGGTACAAAGCCTGCCAGATTCCTATTTAAGGATTTTTACAATAGGCTGCTCCCAAGCAATTGAACTCACTGACATGCTGTACTTTGTCCAAATGATGACTTCTTAACCTTCTTATCAAAGACTTCTGCCTGCTATCTAGGCTTTGGAGGAACAAAATAGAAAGCATTGCAATTTGGATTTTCCTGCCTAGGGTCTAGTATTATAGAAGTTAACAAAGTTTGTGCCCATCGTAAAGCTGTGCAACTATGCAGTATTTGATGTGGAGGAAGTTTTGACAAATTCCTTTATTTACAATAATAAAATCAAATATCTTAGATATAAAAATAATATCAAGTCAAATAGGAGAAGAACAGGGAAGGCAGAACTCAATTACAGATAAAAATACCTGAACTACCGTAGTTATTTATTACCTCTTGGAGCTTTGGGTTTGGGCTTTTGGGTTTATTGCAAGGTTTGTTGCAGAGACTATACTAGGAGAGAGACTAGACCAGTTTGTTGAAAAGCGGTCAAAACCAGAAGACATTTGGAAATGTCTATGACGTGGCCATTTGGAAATGGGAATCCAGAGGCATCCACACTAATTCGTCAAAACGATGAAATTTGGGTTGTATGTCACAATGTAAAGTCCAACCCTTTCATACTTGTGTACAGTATTGTGATGCAAGTAGGGCAGGGTTTGCATCAGAACACACATTTAATCACTTGCCTCTCCCCTGCCCCTGGACATCCATGTGGGAGCCACCATGAATAGGATGAGATATTCACAATAGACTCAATTAACTGCCAGAGCTTGCTAGATATAGCCATGCATAATATAATGCTGAGTATATTATACAAACATGTATATACAACTCCCAGAGGTTTTTACTTAGTGTATTGTTTAAACTCTGTCATTGTAGCTTGCAAACCATATATGTCACAGCATTTAAATAATTTGCAAAGTTAGAATAATTTTATGATATACTGTAGCAACATGTGAATCCATTTAATCAACAAACTATGGCCTTGTGAATTCATACAAGTGTGATGTATTCAGTAAGCCATGGCTTAGCTCACAGTGGGAAATCAGTCACTGACTAATAATGAATTAGCTGATGTCTTTTGTACTACAGATATTCCTCAAATTATGGCCACAATTGGGACTGGGGTTTCCATCACTAAGCAATGAGGTCATAAAATGTGACGTTATGTGACTCTGTTGCTTAGTGGGGGCAATCATGGCAGTCTCAGTTACCATTGTAACTCCAGATGTATGAGTCGTTAAGCGGAAAGCAGAGAGGATACCAGGTAAGGGACATGGGGGAGCCACAGGGAAGAGGCCTGGAATAGGCTGTGTGCAAGTTGGGGGAAGGTGTTATGCACAACAGCATGAGCTCAGGGAGGCCGAAGAAAAAAGGTGTAGAGTGTGTGTGTGTGTGTGTGTGTGTGTGCGTGCATGTGCTTGTGTGAGAGTTCAGGGAGGCTGAAGAAAGAGTACAATTTTATCTGTTGGTTGTACACTGCCCAACAATGGTGAGATGGGCTGCTATATTTTCAGGCAATTTTCACA